CTGTCACCTCTCTACACCTCTCTACACCATCTGTTATTATGATGGGAAGATGGAGCCAAAACTGAGAGAGCAGTTTAGGAGAGGTTTGAGTCACTGGAAAGCAAAAATAATCCTGACTACTGCACTGATAGAGCCACCATTTTGCCCTTATCATCTGTAATCTTCACAACACCTCTGTTCCAATTAATTTTCAACATGAGTGGTAGAAAATCTGACCAAACTGGTTAAAGCCCAAAATTGGAATGTTAGCTGATATAGTAAATAGAATGAGACAAATTGGCTTCAGGCATGGCCTGATCCAGAGCTCACAAGCCCTGAAAGCAGCCTAGTTTCTCTGTTCCTCAGCTCTGCTTGCTCAGTGTTAACTCTTCTCCCACAAGCTCTCCCCTCATGGTTACAAGAAGGCTGCCAGCAACAACTCCTGGGCTTTTTCCTTCCAGGTTAAATTCTGTTGCATATCCATTTATGGAGTTTATCACATAAGCTATTGTAACCCGATTTTCCCCAAACCTTAGCAACTTAGGACCAAATCCAGTAGAAACGAGTGAGTCTGCTTCCCTGAGAGTTCAAAACAAGAGCCCAGGAATTGAGTTTCTTTGCCTGTGGCTCATCCATGGGTCAGACACCATGGCGAGGAGGAGGAAGAGTCCTGAGTGTCTGAGCTCAGGCCCTATGCTCCCTCCAGGGCCATCACTGTCACCGGAAGTACTTGGGCAGAGGTGGAGGAGGGCTGGCTCCCCAAGCAAAAGTAGGGCAGTGTTGCCAAAGCATAGTAAATTCTAGGCAGCGAAGATGGCAGTTGTCCACAATGAACCCTATGAGATTGAAATTATTCTCATTGTACAGATGTGGAAATTGAAGGTCTCAGATGTTAAGACTCTTGCCCCAAATCATATAATGGTATAGATTGGATTTTACCCCATTAATGTGTGCGATGAGACAAAAAGGATAGGTAGGTATCTGCCAGGCAGACTGGAGCAAGGAAGGTGCTCAAAGCGAGGATTTATGAATACACAGCAGTATGAGGGCATTAGGGGAGTGGGGGGCCTTCAGGGAACTTGGAGTTACGGGCAAAGTTATAAGACAGTGTAGCAAAGGAAGAGCTCAGGCTCTGGTGTCAGATGGATCCAGAAGTCATTTACCAGTTCAATAGGTTGCAGTGAGCAGGTTGCAGTGAGCTGAGACTGTGCTACTGCACTCCAGCCCGGGTGACAGAGCAAGACTCTGTCTCAAAAACAAAAACAAAAAATAATTACTAACAGAGGTTTGTTTTTTGCTTTGTTTCACATTTTAATATAGATTCCTGAACTCTCCAGGGATAGGGAGATTCCTAGGTTGAGGTATCAGGAAATTTCCTCCCAGAAAACTGTTGGTCATATAGGGGAATTCATCCACCTCCTTCCAAGTGGCCAAGGATGTAACTGCTCACTTTGCCTTCATCATCTGTAATATAGTGCCAGTAAGCTTCACAGAGCTCTTGAGAGGAATGAGTGAGATAGCACAAAGGAGCTGGTATAGTGCTGAGCTCAAGGAGCTCCACAGATGGTCGATGTTATGGTACTGGTGAGGATAGGTCGCACGAGGTAATGAATGGGGAAGGTGTGGGAAAATAAGACGGAAAATTAACCATGGGTCAAATCACGCTAAGATAAGGATTTTAGCTTTTACCCTCCACAAAATGAAGAAGGATTTTGACCAGAGGGATGGCCCAATTAGTTTTTCATTTTAGAAAGATCATTCTGGCAGCAGTGTATAGCCGAGTAGCAGAGAGGTGGGGTGGGCAGGGGGAGGGTCCAAAATGGATGGCAGTGAGACCAGTTAGGAGACCATTTTAATACAGTCATGTGCCACATCATGTTTCAGTCAACGATGGACCTCATATGCTATGGTTGTCCTGAGTGATTGGAATACTGTATTTTTACTGTGCCTTTTCTAATATGTTTAGATAGACAATTACCATTGTGTTACAACTGACTGCAGTGTTCAGCACAGTAACTTGCTATACAGGTTTGTAGCCTAGGAGCAATAGGCCACATCATATATAGCCCAGGTGTGTAGTAAGCTATACCATCTAGGTTTGTGTGAGCACACTCCATGATATTTCCACATCATTGAAATTACCTAACAATTTCCCCATCGTTACCCCTGTCATCAGGTGACATATGGCTAGTCAACTTGTTCAGTGGTTGCTAAACTTAGTTCAACGTTAAACTTACTAAGGAAGGCCAGGCACAGTGGCTCACGTCTGTAATCCTAGCACTTTGGGAGGCCAAGGCGGGCAGATTACCTGAGGCCAGGAGTTCAAGACCAGCCTGGTGGACATGATGAAACCCCATCTCTACTAAAAACAGAAAAATTAGCCAGGCATGGTGGCACACACTTGCAGTCCCAGCTACTTGGGAGACTGAGGTAGGAGAATTGCTTGAACACGGAAGGTGGAGGTTGCAGTGAGCCAAGATTGTGCCACTGCACTCCAGCCTGGAGATATATGTGTCTTAAAAATGGACATATTTCCTGACCCTTCAACTCCACTTCTATACGCATATCCTAAGAAAATAATTCGGGCTATGTACACTCCACCCTGTCTCAAAAAGAAAACAATTACTAAGGGAGGTTTTTAAAAATTTTTTGCTTTGTTTCATGTTTTCATACAGATTCCTGGACCCTCCAGGGATAGGGAGATTCCCAGGTTATCAGGAAGTTTCCTCCCAGAAAAACTGTTGGTACCATAGGAGAATCGATCCACCTCCTTCCCAGTGATCAGCATTGCCTAAAGGCAAACTAGAATTGTTATAGCAAGAATGTAAACACTAAGAAACAGTCAACTTTCTGGTTTTTTTAATGTTAAAACAATAACTCTTGAAGCCCCTGGGGCACAGGTTGGCATAGCCAGATAAAGATTGCCTGGGATGGAAGGGATGGAGAGAATGGGATCGAGTGGCACTTTGCAGGAGGTCATTTGGTCTGACCAGAGCAAACCACCAGGAAGGAAGCAACCTTCGAGGTGATGGTATTTGAAGGTGGCGCCATTGGGAGGTAATTAGGTTTAGATGACATCATGAGGATGGGACCCTCATGATGAGGTTAGTGCCCTTATCAGAAGAGGAAGAGACCAGAACGTACTCCCTTTCTCCATCGTGTGAGGACACAGCAAGAAGGTAATCATCTGCAAACCAGGAAGAGGGCCCTTCCTCACCAGACACCAAATTTGCAGACACCTTGATTTTTGACTTCGCAGCTCCAGAACTGTGAGAAAGAAATGCCATTGTTTAAGCCACCTCAGTCTATGGTACTTTGTTACAGCAGCCTGAATTGAGTCAGACATTCAGCATTGGGAGATGGCCAGCAGGGAACTGCACGGAAGCTGACCCAACACCTACAGTACCAGTCCCCATTCAGGTGAGCACTGGCTGCCTTTGTGGAAGAACCACTCCCACAGTTCTACCTTCAGCCAGGAGGCCTCCCATCCATCACTGTATCCTGGTGGCTCTATGACTGTAGACTTGCTGACTTTACTCTGAGCTGCCTGATGTGGATAACAGATAACTCCCACTTCAGTGGCCCAAATACTCACTGGCCTTCACATTTCCATCCTGGGGATGAATCATAATTCACCCAAACATCTCCCTTATTCCCAGATGTTTACATTGTTTTCAGGTTTCCATTAGTACATTTAATACTTCAATGAACATGTTGCACATAAAGCTTTTACTGCATAACTTCTAACTCTAAAATATCTGGTATTCTTTGACAAAACCTAGTAATGGCTATTTCTTTGCGTTCAGGATACCAAGTCTCAAACACTATTCCCTTCTCAAAAGATACAATTAAAGTTCTTTTTATGAAAGTCAATACCTGTTGATGGGAAAAAAAAAAAACTCTTAGCAAGCAAAGAATAAAAGGGAATTTTCTTAACCTAATAATAGGCACCTACTAGAAACCTCAGCCAACATCTTACTTAATGCTTCTTTTAAAAGTCAGGAATGAGATATGGGTGTTATGAGTGTCCATTATCACTGCTTCTAAAACACTTCTGTTGGCACTTCAACACTAGAAGTCATAGAAAAGAAAAAAAAGGAAAGAGATTGCTGCCTCTTCCAGGATGTAGAGAAGCAGGCATTCTGATTCACTGCTTGTATAACTTCAACCTTTAAGAATGGCAATTTGGAGCTATATGTGTTTTAAAAATGGACGTATTTCCTGACCCTTCAACTCCACTTCTATACGCATATCCTAAGAAAATAATTTGGGCTATGTACATACATGTAACAGGTTACGGTCTCTACTACTATCTAGTCAGAAACCTCCTATTCGACAAGGTACTGGTTATGTGAATTCCAGCATGAACACATGCAGGAATATTAGTCACTAAAAATCATATTGTATAAGAGCATTTACCAGAAAGACAGCTTAAACTACCACGTTTTTTTGTAGATAATGGCGTGTACACACATACACAAATGTACTGGAAAGATCTATACAGAATATTGATGATTCCTTATGCTCTGTTTTCCCAATTTTCTAAAACCTGCTACTTTTCTAGTTAGGAAAAACAATATATTTTAAATGCTGCCTCAAATGCTGTAGGCAGCAAAGAAAGTGGCTCAGAAACACTGTAAAAAGAGATTTTATATGGGGAGATGGTAGCAACTATACATCTATTCATACAGAATCCTTCATGCCATGCAGCTAAACTGTATTCTTATTGTTCATTTTATTAAGACAAAAATAAATGGTAGATCTAAAGGTTAATTTTAGGTAAACTCTCTTAGTTTTAAACTCTGTGCTTACTCATATTCAGGAACCAGCTATTCTGCAAATGCTGAGCAGGTCACAGGCCACCCTGCAACCCAGTGATTAGACTGGGGAAGATGGAGCTTATCGGGCTGTTTCCCTGGTTCATGTGACCAAGTGGGGTCTGGGGTTGGGGGTGAAGGAAGAAGGGAGAAGGGACGGTCACAACAGTGTTCCATGCATGCACTCAGACAATGGCACAACAGTTACAACAATGAGAATCTTTATGCATATAACTTTGTGATCAATACAATCCTTCAGAACAAGAGACAAACAAAGGAATACAATGTCCCAAACCGTTGCAGTCCATAGGCTGACATTGCTAACTAGATTTAGATCATCTGGAGGCTTTTGTAAGAGGAACTGAGGTGCAGAGGCATCAAAATGAGCTGATTCCCGGCAAAAGTGCTAAGAGGCTACAGACATATCTAAAAATCAAGAAACCACTACTTGTTAAGTACTTCTGGTGTTTGCATACAGTGTCCAATACATAGGGAAGACAGCAAGTCCATACTGGTCTTTGTACATGCTGTGTGGTAGAGGCTACTGCAGGTTTCTTTATTTTCTAAAGTAGGCAAGGCTCATTAATTGACCAATTCACATTGTGATTACTTGGTACAATGCATGCATGTTATTGGTACACAGAGTGCTTTAACAGGAATCTGCTGGATTTTCAAAATTCTGACAAGGCCATTTTTGTCTCAGAGGACTATTATTATCCATTCAGTTATTCATTCATTCAACAGATACTTATCCCAAACTGTGTGTTATCTCCTCCATCCCCTTCTCAGGAAGACCAACCCTGGAAACAGGTGAGAGGAGAGTGTTCACAGGGCACAGCATGTGTTGTTGATACTGTTTGTGGACAGCAATGGTGCAATCCCAAGGACTTGAATAAGTGGCCTCTGCCTCATTAACCAACTCCTTGAACCCAGACCATCAGGGAGCTAGTGAGCTGATTCAAGAGAGGAAAGAACAATTCTCCATTCAAGTCAGACATCCCTCAAGGGGAACATGACTATTCTGACTCATTTGGGAAGGGGCAAAGAAACGGATATGAGGTGGAATCATTCTTATCTGTAAAGTTTAGCTGATGGAAGAAAATGGTGTCATTTGCTTAACTTTGGAAAATGCAGTGGGTCTCTGGGCCCTGAGGGTGGTATGCAAAATAAGCCCATCTCTCCACCTACACCCTTCCCAAAAAACAGGCTGTGGGCGTGGCTGCTTTTTAAGAAGCTGGATGCTAACTTCAGATGGCACAGAATTCAAGACCAAAACTGTAATAACTTATTAGTCATATTTTCCATCTTCAGTTCCTTTGGGGGTAAAAATACCACGAAGAGGATAAAATAGCTTTTCTCACGGTATAGGTCATTGTGTGTTTTCTGTTCAAAAAAAAGCCCACACAACCACATTCTCTATTATAAAAATTAGTACCTCTCATAGTAAAAGCCTGCTCTACAATTACAGTTTTCGTTTCAGAATTAACAATCCATTTGCTCAAATCAATATTGGCTGCATCAACAATATTCCTGAAAGTATTGCCAGTAGTCTTCCAGAGACAGACATGAAGGCTGAGTCTATTCCTCTAATGACGGCGGGCAGAAGGGATTGAGGAGTGAGCCTGTTGCTCAGCCAAATAACAGGTGCATGAAGCATTCTTAAAATAAACTCCCTGTTCAGGATAAGGAAGTCAGAGCTGGTTTTGTAAAACGCCATCAAGGGACTCTGTACCATCTGGAGACAGGTCCTTTGAGTCAGGAGGGATTTTAGTGAATGGCTTCCCAGTCTTGGTTTTTACAAGCTATGTAGCCAATGCCTCTGTGTACAAAGAGCATTAAACCTGCCTATTGCACTGAAGGAAATGTGGCTAAGTCACTTGGAATACCGGGAGTACTGACCTTGAGTAACTGAAGTGCTAGTTCACCTCTGTGTGGCTCAGAGTTCCCATCTGCATAGTGGAGACAAGAGGTGCTATCCCTGACCCGCTGGGTGAGAGAGAGCTAGAAAGGGCAGGAGTGAGAGGGAGCTAGAAAGCACTGGGGCCTTCTCCAGAGAAAGGCAGTGTTCAAGTAACAAAGTACTCAACAAAGGACTCCAATCAAAAAGCACAAAATTCAAGTAACAGAGTCACAGGTGCTATGTTCTGGCTTCTGAACAGAGGCCTTGTGCGTCTGCAGTCGAGAGCTGGTGGGTGAGTGAGCTGTGTGGTAGGGGATGCAGGCCAGGCTGTGTGTGGAGCCCATCAAGTCATCCGTACCACTGAGGATGAAAGCTCTCCTCAAGAGGAGAACACAAACCTCAGGAAAAGCTCAGTGGCGCGAGCAAGCTGTCCGGAGCAACTGCTTAAAGCATATGCCAAGTGTGTCCTGTGCATAAGATCTTCAGCTGGGTTATCGACCGAAATTTCAAGAGATGAAAGGTTTTCTTCATTTTGCAGGTAGAAATAGACAGTTAAAGAAAGGCTATCTAGATTTTTCTCCTATGATTTAGCATAAGAATTTTAAAAAAAAATTGAGACTCATACTGTAGGAAATCTCACAGGACACAATCCCCTCCGTAAACCATGAAAAGGAAGATCAGGAAGTTTTTTGTAACGAAGAAACTTACTTTCTTTTTACAGTTTCTGTCCTAGCAAGCTGGTATGTGCATGCTTGAATATTAGTAATACCCAGAGAACTAGAAGGTTTGGGGGCACTGTCACAGGGACTCTGAAGGCCCCCAGAACAGAAGGATGGATAAGAGTTAACAGTCTAGATATATAGTCTTTTTTAAATAGCTCACAATGAAAAATTGGGAAAAATTCACACTATAAAACCACAATATTTATTTTGCCACAAGAATCCACTTCATCAGTTAGCAAGTAGATGGGAAAACAGCCCTGTTTCTAACTCCTATTATAAAACTTCCAGTTCCCATTTTTTATGGGCTGTTGCTCATCCCTGAACCTACTCATTTTCACTGGACAAATAAAACTCTTTTAGAGCCATTCAGCTGCAACCCTTACACTACTGTGAAAAGGTGAGTCCAGATACAAAGTTTCGGGGAGACATCATCGTTTCTTAGTGCCACTGTTTCCAACACCGGGTTTGCTGAAGCTCCTGCTCATTTGAGGAAAGTGCACAGTCGGCGTTCTTTCTGTAGGGCCATATAATCCCAAGTTCCTGGCAGTAGCAGATTTCCGCAGGGGCTTGACGCTGGGGAAAGGGCTGAAGATGGGGGTTTTTGAGTTGCTGCCTTGGGGAGGTTTGCTGGTGGCTTTGTTTTCTTCAGGTGCACTCGGCGGCTCTGGGCAGTGCCGCTGGCAGGGTGGGTGCACCTCGGGCTCAGTTTCAGCTGCAGCATCCCTCTGGTTCAGTTCCAGGGCCCCCAACTTCACCTGAACCGCAGACACATCCACATCAGCATCTCCAAACACCGGCTCTGGAGACTGCCCCTCGATCGTCCTCCCAGTACTGCCTTCGGGGCTGCTGCCTTCTCTTCCAACTGTCGCTGTACAACTAGAGGGGAACGCCTCTGCCGCCCCCAGCCCGTTGGTCTTGCTGGCCTCGTTCTGCTCGTCTATCAGCCCTATGGTGTCCCCACAGCCCGGATGACTCTTGGTCCTTGGCATGTTCTTTTTGTGGACTCGGATGTGAGTTCGCCACGGGGAGTTGAGCTTTGTCTTAAGGTCTTCGTAGGGGACAGGAGACATTTTCCCTCCTGTGTGACCAGGAATGTGGATGACAGCATTCTTGGCAGCTCTGTTAGTCATTTTCATCTTCTTTCCTAAAAGAAGGTGGTTTATAACTGGAGAACTGTTTACCTGAGACGGGAGAATGCTGGTCACTGGCCCTTTGTCTGAAAGAAATGTTGAAAGGTAGTATGAAGTGCACCACAGAGAAACACATCCATCATGGAACAGAAATCACACGGAGGTCCTCCCAGCCTGGCCCACCACATCCCTTCCCATGTATTCCGCAGGGAGGGGCAGAGGCATGTGACTGAAGACAGCAGAAACCAAATTCAACCCAAGAGCCTGGAATACCAATGCTCTCTTCTTTAAAGAAGAAGGGACCATAGGGTGATGATACAAAAAGGAACATCTGACTCCTCATTCCTAATTAGGGCCTGGACCCCCTAATGTTTTTTTTACAGAGAGCTCTTGTCTCTGAGTAGCAACTTCAGAGTTACTGTACCTAGAAAAATCTTTGCAGATTTAAAAAAATAACACAACAAACACTATGACCATATGGATTATCATCTGTCAGCCTCTGAGAGGTAGGAAAAGAACACACTGCATATTATGAAGTGAGATCCAGCAGAGTGACAGAAGTGATAAAAAGGTAATGAGAATGCAGTGAAATCACAGCTATCCAGCATCTAGCCCTAGAGATGAAAAACCACTCCTGTGTCCTCAATGGACTTTGAAAGCCAATTGAAAACTGAAAAGCACCAAAAGCTTTGACTTCAGCTAGGTGCCGTGGTTCATGCCTGTAATTCCCAGCACTTTGGGAGGCCAAGGCAGGAGGATCACTTTAGGCCAGGAGTTCGAGACCAGCCTGGCCAACATGATGAAACCCTGTCTCTACTAAAAATACAAAAATTAGCCAGGTGCGGTGGTGCGCACCTGTAGGCCCAGCTGCTTGGGAGGCTGAGGCAGTAGACTGCTTGAACCTGGGAGGTAAAGGTTGCAGTGAGCCAACATTGCGCCACTGCATTCCAGCCGGGTAATACAGCAAGACTCCTTCTCAAAACAAACAAACAAAAAAGCTTTGTTCTCCTAGAAGGCACTGTCAATGGCATTATCGTTGACCTCCTGTGGCGATGACCAGGCTCCTATTTCCAATGCAGCATTCAACACACATGGTCCCAGGATGGCAGCTGCAGAGAGAAGTTGTAGGGAGAAGGCCTCTCCCTGTGTGTGTGAGTTTCCTTCCTCCTTGATGTCCATGTCATCTGGCTGAACTAACTTCCACCCTTCTCTCCTGTTGTCATTTACCACTGGTCATACCCCAATATCAACTGAAAATGTTGATAACTGTCTCCTCTTCACCACATTGCTGCCACCTCACCAATTATTTGACTGTCACTGTGATTGGCCCTCCATTACATTCTCATAGTTCCTCAGCCTCCCCAGTTCCATCCTAAACCTTATCACCCAGCTCCACCTTATGTGAAAATATTTAATTCTAATACTCCTCACTTTGGCTCTTCCAGCTCTCAGGCTCCCAGTCTAACTATATGTGGTAATGAACCACAGAGACTTCTGGCTCCTTATTCCTCAGGCTCCTCATAACCCCTCATGTGTCTTCGGCTCACTGACACCTCTACCCTGCCAGATGCATGGCCGACCGCTTAGATCACTGCCTCATAGGCATCCCTGTCTCTTTGTCACACATTGCTAGTAAAGCCCCAACCTGGGATCCATAATCCACATTCTCTTTTCTGAAACTGAGCCCTTCAAATTCATGACCTCTCATTTCACTGGGTCCTCAATGCCAAACAATCTTTTCATTTCCCTGTCTCACTCCTTTCAATGACCTAACTAAATCTTCATTACTTTCTTTAACCTCTCATGTACTCCCAACCCCCACCTTATTCCCACCAAACAACTCTCCCCCAATTTCTCCATGAAAACAAAAGCTATCAAGTCTGAAAGGCCTCTATTTCCCATCCTCCCTAACCTCGGAAGCTGATACCTCAACCGCCATGCTCACCACCTTCCATTAAGTCTCAGAAGCTAAGGTCTTTTTGCCTCTAGTTCAAGTTCAGTCTCTCCCCCTGTGCTGCTAATCCTATCGTATACCATCTCATCTAAAACCATGCTGCTCAAACCATGGTCCCTGATATGGTTTGGCTGTGTCTGCACCCAAATCTCGTCTTCTAGCTCCCATAATTCCCACGTGTTGTAGGAGGGACCCAGTAAGAGATAACTGAATCATGGAGGTGGGTTTTCCCATGCTGTTCTCGTGATAGTGACTAAGTCTCACAAGATCTGATGATTTCAAAAATGGGAGTTTCCCTGCACAAGTTCTCTTTGCCTGCTGCCATCCACGTAAGATGTGACTTGTTCCTCCTTACCTTCCACCATGATTGTGAGGCTGCCCCAGCCATGTGAAACTAACTGTAAGTCCATTAAGCCTCTTATAAATTGCCTAGTCTCAAGTATGTCTCTTTGCAGTGTGAAAACAGACTAATACAGTCCCCAAGCAGCAGCACCAGCAGTGCCTACGGGCTTGTTAGAAACATATAATTTCAGCTCTATTCCAAACCCACTGAAACAGAGTCTATATTTTAGCAGATCCCCAAATGATCTCTATGCACACTAAATTTCAAGAACCAATGCTCTAGAGCTTTGCCTTTGAGCGGCAATCTCTCCCTTAAAGATAACCACATCAACCATGATCTAGAGAAAGGGTCAGCAAACTTTTCCTGTAAAGGACCAGACTGTAAATATTTTAGCCACTGTAGTGTGAAAGGAGCCTTAGACAACCTGTAAAAAAAAGGGCATGCCTGTGTTCCAATAAAACTGTATTTACAGGCTGGGTGCGGTGGCCCACTCCTATAATCCCAGCACTTTGGGAGGCCAAGGTGGGCAGATCACCTGAGGTCAGAAGTTCAAGACCAGCCTGGCCAACATGGTGAAACCCTGTCTCTACTAAAAATACAAAAATTAGCCGGGCGTGGTGGTGCATCCTGTAATCCCAGCTACTTGGGAGGCTGAGGCACAAGAATTGCTTGAACCTGGGAAGTGGAGGTTACAGTGAGCTGAGATTGTACCACTGCACTCCAGCCTGAATGACAGAGTAAGACTCCATCTCAAAACAAACAAACAAACAAACAAACAAAAAACTGTACTTACAAAAACAGGTAGTGAGCAGGATTTGGCCTACAGATCACAGTTTGCTGATCCCTGATGAGAATACAAGCCACTGGGTCAATTTAGCACCCTGAGCAATTGTTTACCATCACACCCAAAGACTTGTACAGTGTAGTTAAAAAGGGACTGTACAAAGAATCAGAACACCTGTGTTCTAGCCCTGGCCTGACCACTCACTATAGCTATATAACCCTGGACAATTGCTAAGCCTTCCTGAATCACCATTTCCACACCATTTGGAAGAAGATGAGACTATCTGTCCTTGCCTTCCTCATTGATTTGTTTTAAGGACAAAATGAGGAAATGTATGTGCCAATGTTTTTGAAACTTAAAGTGAAATTGTTCATTTATTTTGTGACTGGTTTCTTAATGATTCAGGATAAAGTGAGAATCGTCAAGAAGTCAACTATTCTTCTCTGATAAATGGAAGGTAAATTCAGTTTTTGTGCAAGATCAGTCACATGCTCACATGCCACTTTAAAAACACATCAAATTTATATTTTGGTTAATTCTGGACAAGCATCATTTTCATTAGGATATTCACTTCAAGCAAGAATAAACAACTCCCAAATCAGCATATATTAAACAATAAAGCAGATTGTTCACTGGGATTTTTGGAAATGAAAAGAAAAAAGCTTGGCAATCCTTGGAAAAGAGCATTTCCAATTGCATTATAATTGTATTCTTTTTAGTATACTCCCAAGATACTTGCCGTCAGCAAAGCACAGGCTTTTTAATGGTTTTTTTTCCATTTTCTCTGATCACAACATCTGTTATAATATCACCTAAATGACTAGTATATAGCTTAATTTACTAGTGTGCAGATAGCTAAATTCTATACTCAGATGCATAAAATTTATGGGGCAAAAGCTCCAAAATTTCTCAAGTCCAAGGACTGCATGGCTTTGCAACACTTTAATCATTTGTAAACCCTTCTCCACAGCACACATAGTAGAGATGTGTTTAATACCATCAACTGCCTGGTCCTTGGGGCCTAAAAAGAACCTGCAGTCTTTTTCTTCTTTAGAGCCTGATAAAATAAAATTTAAAATGAGTTGCTAAATATGCTATTATCTCAAGCCAGCTGTGTTGACAGATACTGAGCTACAGTTAGTAATTCCAAGGCCTTACTAGGATTATTTGTTCTTCATTTCACAAGTTGAGATAGAGTTGAAATTGATTCAGATGAAGAATCGCATTACCTGCCCTGATGTACACCTGATGCACCTGCTGCTGTTGCTTCTTTTTAATTCGAGAGTACTGCCGCTTCAGTGCATTGATATCTGTGGTCATGCGTTCCATCATCATACTGTTAAAAGCTGCGTGGTATTCACTTCGACAGGAATTGATTGCTCCTGGACTCAGCTCTGCAATGTTATTAGATCTCAGACTCTGCTCCTCATTTGGCTCTGCACTCGAAGGATGAGACATAAGGAGATGGTCAGCAGAGGGGAACAGGAGTAAACGGAAATTGATTACACTACAACCCAGTGCAGTATCTTAACCTCCATTAACTTCTAAACCACAAGAAAAAAATGCATACTAGAGTTTGTCTAGTGCCTATTTTGATGTGCTCCTGAAAATATTTCTGTATTTTCTTATTAACCTAACTGTGGGTCTGACATGAGCTATGTGGGTTCAGTGTTTGATTTTGTTACCAGTTTGTTAGCTATATAGACATAACATCAACTGCTTCCAGATAAAAATCACTGCCATTTTCTAAGATTCCCTTAGAAAGATATAACTCCTAATTTCTAAAATCATTGTACAGATTTCCACACAACTGCATGAGGATTTATACAGGATTGATGGTTTGTAGAGTTTAGACAGTCATTAAAAGTGCATTCTTCTTACATTAAAAATAGTAACACAATTTATAACATTATCAATACTTCAGACCACTGTATCACTAAAATGAATGCTTTGTTCATTTAACAAACATTTCCTGTCCACTCTGTTATGTCTGATGTGGTGTCTGCTCCTGTGATAGCTACAACTAGTAGATTTGTCTCTTAAATAAAATTGAGATGACCTCCAAGAAAGAGAAACAATACTGGGTGGGAGTAACCCACAGACTGCACAGGCCAAAGTGGGAGAGAGCAAGTTTCTCCAGCACAATTTGTAAAACTGACATGGGAGCCAGAGTAAAAAAAGACGGAGAGATTCCAACTATCCTAACATCTGCTGACAGTGTTATTCAGACAAAGGCTAAACATCTCAGAAATTTACTTCATTTTTTTACTGTAATCATTTCTGTAAGGAGAAGGAAATTAAAAGAGAAACTGCTAATCAGAGCAAAATCAACAAGAAAGACTAATGATGAAATTTAGGAGAAAGTAATCATGTCATCCTAGAGCACAAAAATGCACAGAAAGAAAAACAGAGAAAAAAATGAAACATAGACCCAGGCTACAGAAACCCAGATTCAAAAACTTTACCATTAAAATACATATTGATCCTATGGCTAGAAATCAAAAGCTGAAACTCAAGCAATAAGAAAGGGGGTAGAAGGCATTGCAGAAATCAAGAAGACTCTTGTTGGGTTCAGATTTTTAAAAGCCATTTAAAAGGATGAGAGGAGAGCACATACCAAGGACATACTCACAAAACAGCATGAGCCCAGCCATTAAAAAGGTTAAAACTCAAAACAAGCTGAGGCTTGCAGGAAATACTCCAAAAGATCACAACCAAAAGTTAGAAATAGCAGCAGTTGCTGCCACTGCTCTTACCTTCCAAACAAGAACCGAAAAAATGAGAAGATAGCCCCATGACTTCAAGAAGGTGGTATAAAGTTGGCAGATGACAAAGATAACACAGAGGTGCCTGACATCTATTCTGTTTCTGTCCTCTTTCAGCATATTTCTAACCTCTTTGAACAAGGAGAATGGTCTTCAAACTAGAAGAGGTAGAATAAATATCCTAAAAGAAAAGCTGCCACCCAAGACAAGAAAGGACGTAGAGAACCACAAACTTTAAAACAGTGCATACCATTGATAATGTCCAGACCACAGAAGTCTATTCTGCATAGAAAAAAATAAAATAAAATAAAACATGGCATGTGATTCAGAGCACTACATTTTAAGAGGAACATTACCAAATTACAGGATATCTAGAGGTAAATTAATAGAATATTAGGAGGTCCAGAAGTCATAACTTAAGAGACATGCTCAAAGAAATACTGAACTTGGGCCTTTGAGAAAGCTTTGGAGGACATGATAGCTGTCCTCAAAGATTTGAAGAGATGTCAGGTAGAAGAGGGAGTAAGCACTCTTGTTCTGTTTTTTTCCAAAGGGAAGAATCCTCTTTTCCAGCTGGAACCACGGATGGTGTCGAAGAGAAGAAAAAGAAGGTGCCTGCTGTGCCAGAAATGCTTAAGAAAAAGCAAAGGAATTTTGCTAGAGCTGAAGATCAAGCACCTGAGAAAGAATTTTGCTGAAAAGATGCTTCAAAAGGCAAGGAGGAAGCTTATCTATGAAAAAGCTAAACATAGCCACAAGGAATACAGGCAGATGGACAGAACTGAGGTTCAAATGGCTAGGAGGGCAAGAAAAGCTGGCAACTTCTATGTTCTTACAGAACCCAAACTGTCACTTTCCCTAAGGATCAGAGGTATCAATGGTGTGAGCCCAAAGGTCTGAAAGGTGTTGGAGTTTCTTTGTCTTCATCAGCTCTTCAATGGAACCTTCGTTAAGCTCAGCAAGGCTTCAATTAACATGGTGAGGACTGGAGAACCATACATTGCATGGGCGTACCCAAACCTAAAGTTTTATAGCAAAATTGATAAGAAGCAAATTGCCATGACAGATAACACTTTGCTCAATCTCTTGGTAAATATGACATCGTCTGCATGGAGGATCTGATTCATGAGATCTACACTGTTGGAAAGGCTTCAAAAAAGCCAGTAACTTCCTGTGACCCTTAAATTATCCTCTCCACAAGGTGCAATGAAGAAAAAGACCTCCTATTTTGTGGAAGGTAGAAATGCTGGCAATAGGGAAGAGAAGAGCTACAGGCTTATTAGACGGATGAACTAAGGGGTCTACCATGATTATTTTTGTAATCTGGTCAGTTAATAAACAGTGATGGCTTCAAATAGAAAAAAAAAGCAAAGAGAAGAACTATTAGTAGAACGGGTAGGTGGAAGTTATCTCTTTGTAACTAGAAACCATGGACTAAGGGGAAGAATCTAGCAAAGTGTCTTGTAAAATAATGAGTTTCTTGTCACTCAAGAAATTTCAAGTAGAGGTCACCATAATGTTCTGATTTAAAGGGTAATCCTATTGTAAGAGAAGCCAGTATGGAATAAATTAAACTCAGATGGAGTATATTAAGCATCTACTATATGCCAGGCTCTGTGCTAAGGAACTGGGCATACAAAGTTGAATCCAATGAACAGGAGCAAAAGTCACCATAGAGAAAAAGAAATGTGTATTATGCATGTAACACATAATACAGAGAGAAACTATTACATAATAAAAAGATAAAGTAACAGAGAAGATGCTTTTAGTAACAATTTTTTTTTAAGATGCAGTCTCGCTCTGTTGCCCAGGCTGGAGTACAGTGGCATGATCTCAGCTCACTGCAACCTCCACCTCCCGGGTTCAAGCAGTTCTCCTGCCTCAGCCTCCTGAGTAGCTGAGACTACAGGCACACACCACCACACCCAGCTAATTTTTGCATTTTTAGTAGAGACCGGGTTTCACCATATTGGCCAGGCTGCTCTCGAACTCCTGACCTCATGATCCACCTGCCTCAGCCTCCCAAAGTGCTGGGATTACAAGCGTGAGCCACCACACCCAGCCTAGTAACGACTTTTTAATGTTGTTGTTGTTGTTGTTGTTGTTGTTGTGTTTTGGTAGAGACAGGGTCTCCCTATGTTGCTTAGGCTAGTCTTGAACACCTGGCTTCAAATGATCATCCTGTCTCAGCCTCCTAAAGTGCTGGGCTTACAGGCATGACCCACCATGCCTAGCCTAATAAAGACTTTTAATAGTTGTAACCAGTTCAGAAAATTACTGAGGCATCTACAGGACACAATGTTACTCTTATTGTAGTAAACCAATACATCTTGATAATCTAAATCAAGAGCCACCTCTTTACCTTTAATTTGTTTTTGGTACTTCTGCAGTTCAGGAGCCAGGAACCCACTAAAAGGTCCAAGACACCCCACTGCATTAACGACAGCATCCTCATCGTCTGGGTCATTCTCTTCATCACTGTCTCTGGCCTTACTATGTCGTCTTGAAAAACATAAAAGACAAAAAAGAAATATACAAAGAAAACCAGAGGTATTTCAAAACATAATACAGTTACATGGTTTAAATGCCATATATATAATTAACATAGAAGTACATATAATTAACATAGTAAAACCCCATCTCTACTAAAAATATATAGAAATTAGCCTGGTGTGGTGCCGTGCACCTGTAATTCCAGCTACTTGAGAGGCTGAGGCTAGAGAATCGCTTGAACCCGGGAGGCGGAGGTTGCAGTGAGCCAAGATCACACCACTGCATTCCAGCCTGGGCAACGACAGAGCAAGGCTCTGTCTCAAAAAAAAAAAAAAAAAAAAAAAAAGAATTATATATAATTACATGACTTATAAAAAGTTTCCTTCCCATCTCTGTCCAACTTCTGCCCATTGAAACTAGTAACCATGGTCACTTGTGAGACTCTCCCATCTAGCTCCCACAGGTGATCATCGTTACTTGTTCTTACATATTCTTCAGTTTCTCTGAGCACACATAAGCAAATATGACTACATGCTTTTATTTTTCTCTTCTTTTTGGATAACTATTAGCATACTATATATACTCTTCTGCATCATGCCTTTATTCATATAAGAAATCTTTGCGGGCTGGGCACAGTGGCTCACACCTGTAATCTCAGCACTTTGGGAGGCTAAGGCAGGAGGACTGCGTGAGCCCAAGAGTTCAAGACCAGACTGGGTAACACAGCGAGACGCTGTCTCTGCAAGAAATTTAAAAATTATCCAGGCATGGAGGTACGTGCCTGTGGTCCCAGTTATTTAGGAGACTGATATGGGAAAATCACTTGAGCCTGAAAGTTAAGGCTGCACAGTATGCCATGATTGTACCACTGCACTCTAGCCTGGGTGACAAAGCGAGGTTTAGAAAAAACAAAGAAAAGAAACCTTTCCATATTCATACACAGAGCTTCCTTATGCATTCTTACAGTTCTACTGGATGTACACACCCCATAGTGTGGAACTAGGCTGCTAATGGTATACACTTGAGTGGTTTCCAATAATATGTTATTACAAACTCCTCGGCGCAAGCAATCCTCCTGCCTCAGCCTCCCAAGTAGCTAGGACTAGAGGTATACACTACTACACCCAGCTAATTTTTGTAATTTTTGTAGAGACAGAGTCTTGCTATGTTGCCCAGGCTGGTCTCGAATTCTTGGCCTTAAGTGATCCTCCTGCTTCAGCTTCCCAAAGTGCTGAGATACCACACCCAGCTTGGGTGGCCATTTTCTTATCAATTTCTAGGAATTTTATATATTAGCAATATCCGTCCCTATTTTGTATAGTAAGTTAAAAATATCCTTCCACAGATATTTTTGAGTCTACTTATAGAGGTTTGGTTTTGTTCCATTTGGGTCATCTAGAAAATTATATTTAAAGTACTTATTTTTTTTTTATTTTGAGTCAGTTATTAAGGCCTTCCCAATTCCAAAGAACTAAAGGAATTCTTCCACATTTTCTTATGCTAATTTTATTATTTCATTGTTTCTATTTAATACATTCATCCATATGGAATTTATCCTGGCATCTAGTATGAGGTCTGACTCTCATTTTCTTTCCAAATTAGTTCCCATTAGCCCATCATCATTTACTAAATAGTGTAACTTTTCACCCTTGATTCAATATGCTTATTTTTCATATGATAAACTCCTTATCAACTGTCAATTTTTGGTCTTCACAGTTTTTAAATCAGCTCATCTGTGTACTTGTATACAGGTTCCACACTATTTTAACTATTGAGATTTTTAATACTTGATATCATTAGGTAAGTTTTGGGGTTGCTAAACATCTCTTCAGTTTATGTTCCAAATTTCTCTGGAAAGTACACTTTTAAAAATCTCTCTTGAGTTTAAATCAAAACCATTTGGAAAGGGACATTCAGATTCTAAGCATCAAATTACTTTAACATATCTCTGGGGCTTCATAAATATTAATTTACAATAACAAATTAAGATATTAAGTCTTCCATCATGAAAACAATGAGGAATTTAAAAATCTTACCCAGAAACTGAGGTGGGTTTAACTGTGGCTGGAAACGGTGTAATGTTGTAGGTGTATTTTTCCCTCAACTCTGCCAATTGTGGGAAAGGGAACGGAGCCATGGAATAAACAGTCTGAAAAACAAAAGCAAAAATGCCAAGTCTGAAACAGTAGCCTTCACCAACTCTTATCAATCCTGGAAAGACATTAAAGTTTTATGAAGTCGAGTGTGAAGAGGCAGATACTGCTCCTTACACAGCAGGTGGAGAGATTACACTTCAACATCTGCTTTCAAGACAGACAAAAGAAGATGATTAAACCCGACCCAGTGAGCTCTCAAATCAACCCAGCTGCAGCTGGGTATTCAACTGGTAAATAAGGGTGGGCAATCACGGGCAGTCTGATTTCCTCCTGTTGTTCGATAAATGGATTAATGCAGAAATCCACAGCTCCCTATGTCTTCTGTATCAAATACTCAAAAATGTTCTTCCTACGTAGTGCTTACTTTTAACAGCTCTGTTAGATGATTTTTAGACATTTAATGTCAGGTCAGCCTTCTGGATAAAATTAAGTCTAGTGGATGATCTTGCGATCAACTACAAGTTTTCTCCAAAGATACCACCTTTTTAAATGTCTGTGGATGAGTTCTAGGTGAAAATTGCTAGGTGTTATTTGAAAGAAAAAAAAAAAGACAAGAAAAAAGTGACAAGGTGTAAACCTTAGGCTGTTAAAACTCTATAAATAAAAATGCGGAAAAGCACCCATGCTTCCACCAGAATTTCAAAATTATGTATCATTCTATCAGCAACAGAAAAGTAATATTGTTCGCTTTCTTATTTTTATTAAAATTTAATAGCTCCAAACATGTTTCTTCAATCCTGGTACTTATTCACCAGAAAATATATATTAATCACATGTTCATTTCTCCTAGGAAGCTAAAGAAATAGCCTGGTAATGTTTTCCTAGGAAAATATTTTAAAATGGTATTTTTTATTTTAGCAGGACTGTTTTTATGAAGGCTTAGAAGATGTCTAATTTGGCATGTAGCAAAAGGAAGGCTGTGAAAGGGGTTTGATTGTGATGCTTTTTCATTTTATAGCTCAGTGCCACCACTGTGACAGTCCCCTGCAATTTTATTCTAACAACCTGTACATCTTACTGTCCCCAGATGTCATAGTATCCCTTTATACTTTACTGTACCAGCCCAAGATTCCAAACAAATAGGTGTTGGCTGAAATTCCTTCTCTTCAATTCTCCATGCTTACTGTGCAAAGCTACAAGCTTATAAGGACTGCAAACATAATCTCTAAGCTGTCTTATCACAGACACTCCAGACTTGATTATACCCCAAAGGCTGAGGAGTACAGGTTTACTAACAATAAACCGTGCCCCAAGAAAAGAAGCAGAAGGCATCTTGTGGCTCTCACTAGCCTTAAGTGTGAAATTAAACCAGTTCCCCACCTCTCTGGGCCTCCTTTTCCTCATTTAAAAAATAAAGGGTGTGAAACTCAGGATCATGGTTACCTCTGAGAGGAGATGGGGATAAGATCAGGGAGAAGTATATGAGGGTGTTTTCCTGTGGTTGTTAATTTTTATTTCTTAAATTGGATGGGGGGTATGTAGATATTATTGTACTATTCTTAATACATCTGTATGCCCAAAATACTTCATATAATTTTATTAATAATGTAGTCAGAAGCACTCTCATGTTCTTTGATCCCACAAAGGTATCCAACAGCTACCTCGCTGCCACTGCAGAATTCTTCCCCGCTTGCTCTTACGATCATGTCTTAGCTCCACATACCCTTTTGAGGGAACGCAAGAGATGTGAAATCCTCTCCTCAGCAGCCGATCCAGAGCACAGCACCTTCCCTAGGGACTGGGTAGGAGCTGCACTGCCCTAACTATCTGACCATCACACACCAACTGCGATCCCACAGTTGGGCCAAGAATCAACTCTCATTCATGTAACTTTTTTTTCCTCTCTTACAGTTTAGAAATGTGTTCAGACATTTAAGAAACCCATGTCCTTTGGATTCAACTTTAAAAGATGAGATTTTTGATGCTAAGAATTTCAAAATTCCTTACAAGTGAAATAAGATATCTTATTAAAGACAATAAGTAGGATGATGAGCTAAAGGTTCACCTGTGTTTCATTTTGCCAGTTTGTAACAAGCTATCAGTAAATTCCCTCATCCAGCCTTGTGAAGGAAGTTCATAAGAGGAACAGGGAAGTACATCCACCCCCTACTGCACCCTGCCCTGCGCCGGGGCTGATGGTCTAGGCTCTGAGCAAGATCCCTCAGGGGCCACTCAGCTAAAGACACCTGACCAAAAAGAAAACTAGCTCCACTGCACTTTCATCCTCCACTTCAGGTCTTCCTTTCTCTGTCATCGACTTTTAGTTAGTCCTTCAAAGAAGAAATCAGTATCCCTGAAACAAAGTTGTCTATAGTAGTTCTTCCCAAATATTCACTCACTTACTTGAAGGTATCACGTCTGAAGGCATTTTATCCCAGGAGCATAAGCATCCCTGGCACACTGACATAGCATTCAGGGTCTCCGAAACCTTTAGGCTTCCACCTTGGTAAGTCGGAAATTTACAACAGATTCCAAGAAAGAGATTTGACTAATCATCTTAGAGCCAAAATATGGTACAGTAATAGAATCACAGGGTTAGAAAGGAATTCAAATATATTAGTTCCACCTCCCTCCCAAGCAGGAGTCCCTTCCAGAGCATCTCCAACAGATGGTCACAAAGGCACAGCTTAAGCACTTTCAGTTACGGGCACACGCAGTTTTGCAGGACAGACGATTTCAATTTAATTAATCAAACATGATCCTTGTATTGAACAAGCATCCATACCCTTGTAATTTCCACCCCATCACTGACGGAAAAAAGTGAACAGAGTGGGTGCAAAGGAAAGTCCTGCCTCTCAGTACATGAGATCTCCCACCAGACAACAGGAAATCAGTCACAAACACTTTGAGTTAGGCTTCCCAAGCACCTACAAACCCTAATAATAGCATCTTAACTAACTTTTCTCCACACTGCCCTCAAGGAATTTACAACAGGCATTGTCAAAAATCCTACTGATATCCAGGTACATTATTTAATCAGCAGTCCTCCAGTTTCTTTAACCCTATCAATTTAAAAAAACCAAACAAACATGAAAATGACCATTGCTAATAAGAAAACAGTGATCTACAAGGGGGAAAACCCAGCATATGATTTTCAGTATGGCACTTAGAACTGAAAGAAAGGGAAAAGACTGAAAGGGGAGAATGCTGTCATCTCTTCAGCTCAAAAATAAAGACCTTACATTCAGCCCACATTTTTCATCTGGTGCTATTTCGGGTTTGCTGACAGCACTAAATTAAAAAAAAATGAATATAGGAAAGAGAATGGCTTGAAATGACATTCACCATTTCTCTCCTGAACATTCTATGATGTCAAGGAAAACTAACAAGTCTATTTACTATCTGAACTACCAACATACACTTAAATAGACATTTATATTTAGGCACTGAAAAGACATTATATTTTGTAATTATTGATATGCTTTACAAGAAATATGAAAACATGAGTTGCACAAAATTAGGCTTAGTTCATCTTCACGCAGATGTTTTCCTCGACAGGAGGGATGCTACTGAAATGGAATCCCATCAATCAATCCACAGCCTACAATTCTCCCTCTAGGATTCTTCTGCTTTTAGCAGCGTCAAGAAGTGGTTCCTTCTCCTAATACCTAAGATTGGAAATTCCTAGAGGACAAATATGGCATCTGACACATCTCATTCCTTCTGGCAATGTTTAAACTGTAAGTGAAATGAGATGTTGCCTTATTCTTCTAAAGAGGATTTCAGCTTTTAGAAAGACATCTTTTGAATAGGTGGAAGCAGTGTGTTGGGTGGTGAGGAAAAGCATTCGGCTAGGAGTCGGCGACCTGGGGGCAGTCTTGGGTCTGACACTAGACAACCTGAGAAACCGACAAGTTGCTGACACTCCAACTCATAGTTTCCTCTCTCTAACGTGACAGAATTAGTTTAATTGATCTTTAAGTTTCTTTTAAGCCAGTGTTTCTCTAAGTGTTTTCTGAAAACCACCTGTATCAGAACCACCCATGGGCCAAATATCTGCATTTTCATACACTCCTGGGATGTTTCTTACACAGTCCAGTTTGAAAACCACAGCCTCAAGATCTAACGTTCCATGATTCTGTGTATTCACTGAGTAACCAGTTGTATTCTTCGCACTAAGCTAGATGTTGCTGAAGCCCCTAACATTAAGGAACTTGCTACTTACAGGAAAAAAAAATTAATATACTTGAAAAAGAGAGCGGGTGCAGTAGTTCATGCCTGTAATCCCAACACTTTGGGAGGCCAAGGCAGGCCTCGCCTGAGGCCCAGGACTTCAAGACCAGCCTGGGAAACATGGCAAAACTCCATCTCTAAAATACATTTTAAAAAATTAGCCAAGCATGGTGGCATGCACCTGTAGTCCCAGCTACTTGCAGGGCTGAGGAGTGAGGACTGCTTGAGCCCAAGAGTTCAAAACCAGCCTGGGCAACATGGTGAAACCCCATCTCTACAAAAAATTTAAAAATTAGCCCAGCCTGGTGGCACATGCCTGTAGACCCAGTTACTTGGGGGGCTGAGGTGGGAGAATCGCTTGAGCCCAGGAAGTCAAGACTACAGTGAGTCATGCTCATGCCACTGCACTCTAATCTGTGTGACAAAGTGAGACCATGTTTGAAAAAAAAAAAAACAAGAATATTCAGTACTGGAGGAGTACAGAAGAGCCATCATCCATGAGTTCCGAGATAACAGAGGCCGTGGGAGTGGGAGAGAGAAGAGATTGAGTGGCATGCGGCATCCAGGATCCAGGTGGGCAAATAGGATTTTCACAGATGCAGCATCAGAGGGACCACAAGCCCTGTCACAGGAATGAGCAATGGCCTACAGAGGCCTGGGTGGGAAGAGAGCTATGGCCAGTGCCATAGAGTCTGTGAAATAGCAGGAACACCTTTGGATAGGTCAGAGACGGGGCAGTCCAAGTACACCTCTAAAGCAACCTATCTGAAAACAAGCCCATCCTCCTCCCCTCAGAAACTTGCCCTCTTCCTTCTAAGCC